CGGATTGATAGACAGATAATAGACAGAGACAGATATATAGACAATCAAGTATTTGTTTATTTTCTTGTACATATTTTAATTTTCGCGTTAGGATCTGCCTGCCTGACAAACTATTGAATAATTAGTGTGTACTTCAACATTATGTCCCGAATATCATAGACTCAACATTATTATGTTAATTGTTCTATGACTTGTACATCAAATACATAGACCCCACAAGACCCAAAGAGACAAGAGAGAGAGAGAGAGAGAGAGAGAGAGAGAGAGGAGAGAGATAGAGATGATCTGAGAAGAGAGAAGAAGAGAGAGAAAACGATATAAGGCTAGGTCATCGTGACATTCCCAAAGCTGTCCTCCGTGATAATCGGACGGTAATGGGCAGCAACAAAATCCTACGAACTTATTATTAAATATTGGTCTGTCGCGAAACATCCCCTTTTTTTTATCGATTTATGTAAAGTTTCGCATCCTTTTTCACCCTTTTCTCAAAACCTTAGACACAAAAAATTGCATTATTATTGGATGTACAAATGGACAGCAAAACGGTTCAACTCTGAGTTTTAATCGTCTGCCGAAAACCGCGAGAGGAGGCTTTCGCTATCAATCGCAAGAACTTTGATTCTGCACCTGGGAGTGATGTAAGAGTTTGTGATAATGGTACGTACGATAGCTTTTCTATAATGATATTCTAAAAATTTAAAACGGTTATGTTATATCGTCATAATTCTTTTCTAGGGGATGTATTTCTCCGTGGTTAGGCCTAGGTCAGGTGGTAGATGTTGTGGGTGAATGGTTACTATATCTTTTTTCACTTTAAGTTTCAGTTAATTTGATTTTAAAACTTTCCCTGGACAAAGGTCGTAAGATATTAAATGGAACAAAAGTGAAGATAATAAATCTAATGACTGCTACACTGGCCTCTCAACAATTTGCTTAAATCTTTTCAAGGTATCATGAGTATTGTGTGGGAATGTAAATTTAACCTTTTAGAAAAGTCTGGCTATAACGCATCCGATATATAATGATAAAACCCCATGTATTAACAACTTCTCGAAACCCAAGCTTAAAAGGTAAAGTACGAGCAAGAAAAATATTTACAAGTTCAGGAGAATTTAACCTTACGACTACGAACCAGTCTTATTATAAACAGTACTGAGTACTTACTTGTACCCTTCCAGAAATTTGTAGGCCTTTGATTCTTTTTTTGTGTAAACACTAGGTGTTTGTATAACAATTAGTATGCCCCAACAAATACAGATAGCTGTATTCTGATTTTTTCTTGTTCAATACAAAATTCCATTATCCAGATTTATTTTAAAACTCAAGAAAATACCTGAAAGTTTCGAGTGATTTGTAGGCTTTCAACTCCTCTTCTGTGTAACTCACAGCTGATTCAGCAGCCATTGTTGATCTATTGCCCACCAGTGTTGTGCGCGTGCGCGAAAAAGCGTTGTGTTTTTGTTTTAATGACCATCCCTATACGATAAATATCCATATGTGGCAGTGGCTAACTAAATCTAAGGTTATCCTGGGCTCCTGGAACACGCAGTTCTCGCTCTGTGTCCTTAGTCTCATACGAGTGAGGCATCTTTTACCGTTGCCATACGGGGAAAACTGTGATTTAGGTTTTTCTGGAGATTCTGTTCCATACCCGTGGGCTCCGACAGCGAGTACTGAGGTAAACTATTTACACTTTTTTTTTATGAGTATCTATCTTGTCGATTCGTTTTCTTCATTTCAAGGGAGTATAATCGTAACGAGACGAAACCGGATTTATCTGTTAAATCCCAGCTTAACGTTAAAAGTTAAACAACGTTATGAGGTTAAAAGTTAAACAACGGGAGACGAAGACTCAGATAGTGGATAAGAAGAGGATTAAGATCGAAAGCACAGTGGTGTCCTCAAATCCATTCTTGCACTAGTCTTCAAAGAGACACCGGAGAAGCAGACACATCAATTACAAGGCGCCATTAGTAATCCTCAAGATAAGGAAAAACTGTATAAGGAAAACTACACAAAGTTATCCTGGTGTTGTCAGACAGCAATGCCACAATTCAAAGACTACCGATCTTGGAGTTTCCTCCATCCCTCAGAAAAAAAATATTGTTGATATCAAGGCGAGATTTCTTTCTTTCAAGCTTGTCACTCAGATATAATTTATGGTTGGATGTCCATTTGCGGCAAGATCATACTTTAATGGTGTGGGTTCTCTTAACACAAATATTCAATTAGTTAACACTTATGGAACTCCCTAACTGGACCAGTTTGAAAGCCTAACAAACCACCTTCTATATTTTTGACAAGAACGAGAAAGTGCAGGGGGACCATGGACTTACATATACTTGTTTTCTCCTCCGCTTATATCTCTGATGCTGCAGATATTATCATTTTCATACTAGTGACGCGATGTATGATCACGACTATTGTGCCTTTTTATGTTAATTGATTTTCTTTTATATAGAATTTATACTCTATATATACTCCATTATACCCTAAAGTT